GTTTGGTAAACTATATGATACTTTTAAATAGATTTAAGAGTAAATAAATTGGTTCGTTATCAATGCTATTTAAATTTCACACCAACCTCAGGACGATTAACAGAACAAATCCCAACAATAAACCTTTCAACTTGGCCATCTTTGATTATATTTGATTTAAGATGCAAAAGCCCACTTCCAAAATTTGTGATTCGTTCGTTAACCTGTTCAAATGTCTGCCATATATAGTCACCAAAATTTCTTGTTTTTTCATCAAATTGACGGATCCCTAAACATTCTCTATTTCTAAATTTCTTCAATGCTATTAATTTAATAAAAAATTAATAACAAAATTGGCAAAATGTAAATATATGAACCAATCATTTTCAGATATTGTTCGTATTACAATTTTGCCAGATATCATGTAAACGGGTGAGTCCAGGGTCCGGAGATATTTTCAATTGACCATTAGGAAGAAGTGCATTCCTATAATGACCTTTTATTTTTTTTAATTTTTCTATAAATACAATGCCATTGATAAAAAAAAAAAAAAAAGAAAGAAAAAAAAATCAATTCACCAGTTTGTCCATCCCGTTCTGTTCCAGGAACCACAAAGGATTGTTTATTATAATTAATTCCAGGGATAATACTCATTTCGATTTATTCTGACAACGGTATTTCACACAATCCTCTTAAATAGTACGCTGTGGCTTTATTCCTTGCATAAATCTGGATTCTGAATTCTGAATTCTGTGTACAAATCAATATCTGTAGCTATAATTTTCTTAATTTAGGATATACTATGTATATGACGACTCTCAAGAACAGGAAGGCTTTAACCATCATCTTTATTAGGGTTTATGTAACGTACGTACATGCTTACATATACTGAAGTCCTTGGGCCAAAATTAATGAAAAATTTTCTTGGCCTAACCCAATTTAATGATCAGAGACCCTTTGTACTGTACGTACGTACGTACGTATATGCTTGCTTTCAATTGTGGTTTTTAAACGCATATCGATTAGCAAATATATACCATCGTTTATCTTGAAGATTAACAAAATTAGGTTTTCCATTTAGATTAGAATATCGGGGGTTTTAAATTATTCCTGAGTATTACGATCTACACTCGTTTATTTTATTATTATTTTTTTAATATTAAAGGTGATCTACACTCGTTTAGCTTACCCGTATAAATAATTTTTCAATTGTAGTGATTGTAGTGATGCTGGCCGATTTAGTTTAGCTTATTTTAAGGGTAGAGGGTATGTAGATCATTTTGTCCTATGATTTTGGTGGTACAATAAGATTTATATAGAAATTGATAATGTGCTACTAATAAAACTTTTTACTGTTGTAATTAATTTTTTACAATATATAAATAAAATAATTTATCTATTATGGTAAAATTTTGAACTATTATATTATTTTAAAAAAATATACTTATATATATCGCAAAGTTTTTCTGAATTGGCTCAAAATTTTCTGGGTTACGCAGATCGCTAAATTTGATTGGCTAATCTATATGTTAATTTTATTAATAATTTTTATATCTAATCTTTAAAAATTTATACCTTGCTAAGTTTTTAACCAATTTTAATAATTTTACTACCATTAGAATCAGAAAAACCTGCTTTACAAACTTTTCTTAAAAATTAAAATTAGTTTACATAATACAATTTTTTATAAAATTAGATATAAAAAAAAGGATTAATTAATTTGTAACTAGTAATTACAATAAATTTTTTGTAACTATAACTAAGATCAGGTGTAATGTAAATATCAAAACAATATTTTTTTATAAAGTAAGCTCTTGCAGTTAAAGGTTAGAGTTAGGGTGATATTATAGTTGAAGCAAGATATAGTTTATATCAAAATTTAACAAGAAATTTTTTTTGTTAAAACATAAAAAATAGGTTTATAATCAAAATTTTGTGTTATTAAAAATTTTTTTAGAAAAAATAGTTTTTGTCTTGATTTTGTGTTATAACTGATTTTGAAATTTAATTGGCTTAATTTAATGCTACACAGTGTGGTTACAATAACTGCGATTACAAATTTATTAATCTTAAAAAAAAACTACTACTAAATTTATATATAATTTTAAAATAGTATTCTTTACTCTTAAATATTTTATAGTAAACAATTTTACACAAACATTATTAAAACTTTGAAAATAATAACCTACTATAAAGTATTTGTCTTCACTAGTAAAATTACTAAATTTATAAATAATATCTAATACTATTAAAATTTAAAATCAAGTTTTTGAATATTGTATCTATAACAATAGTAAATATCAGTTTAATATATTAGCGTATTCAAAATACTAGTAAATCAAATATTAATTAGAGTTGTATATGATAGATTTTTTATGAAAATCTGAATTTACCATGGATAATATCAACTTTTGATATTTTTTTTTTGAACTAATATAATAATTAATGTTTTTTTTTTTAAAAATAAAGCAAATTGTATACTTTAGTGCAAGAGAGCCATTTTTTCAATTTATGCTATTTTATAAAAATAAATTTTTTAACAATATAAATAAGCTTTATTTAAATTTAATAAACATAAAGCTATTAAAATTTAAAAAATTGATATTATTATTAAAAAGAGAATAATAAAAACTATTAATTAAAAAAAAATATAATATAATATAAAAAAATTATATTTTTTATTTAAAAAGTGTATCTTTAGTAGTTATTTAAAAAAATTTTATATTTATAGTATAAATTAAAACAATACTACATTTTAAAATAGTATTCAAAACAACATTTAAACAATATCATCATTTAAAAAATATATATAACCAATGTCAATTTTCTAAAGAAAGAATTAATAATAGTATAAATGAGAACAGTAACAATATATTGACAAGTTTGCAATCATTAAATATAGAAGTTAATAGTAGTACAAATAATAATGTCAATATATTGACAAGTTTATAGCTATTAGGGTGTGGCGGCTTAGTAAAGTGGTCTAGTCATCATTCCACCAAGCAGCAGATCTAGAGTTTGAATTCTATGGATGATGTTTTTCGAAAAATAAATCTGCATTAGGTAATGATTATTTATCAATCGGTTGGATCTACAATCTGTAATCTTGGTTGTACTATCTCGTTATGGAAGCTTTGGCGCAAAAATGCCAAGAAACTGGGATAATCAAAACCCATTTGGGAAGACCTGAGTAAGGAGGTAACGATACTTTTGACAGTGCTACAGGAAGGCTAAATTTAGAAGTAATAGCCAAGATTGGAGAACTGAACAACAACAAGATTCTTAAGTGGGGGATTCACTAATCTGATCACCAATTGAAGAGAAAAGTAGCACACCAATCTAGTTAGCTGGCGTGGGAAACTGGGATGACCATTCACTGTGACTAGGATTTTGGAGTTAGGTTCTACCTAACAACAAAGGCTGGGCGATCCCTGGAAACTAGCTGGACCCAATTGGAGGAAAAGGACATATGCTATAAAATCATGTACTATGATGAGATAGGGCATAAGGCACCTAGAGCCTAGCCAGGGTCAAATCTTCTAGGTCACAGATTGGGTATAAGGAAGGGACCAATAAGGTAATTATGAAAAAAAGAAGACCCGAATGTAAGTACTGGGGTTGAAGTAAACCTTACAAGGTATAGCAGTTCAATTGGGTTACACCAAACTGCAAGTAGAAGCCTCAGCAACTGCAATGAATAGGTCAGCCAAATACAGGATATGGAAGGCTCCAGTAGGTTTACCTTGAGGATAGCCATGTGTACGCTCAACGGAGAAATGCAAGCCAGTAATTAGTTGGTGCAAACCTAGGATAAGTCACGGAAGTCCTAAGGCAGGGTACGCAATCTAGTAGAACGAGCCAGATGGTAGTTTTTGGGTTAATATGATATGCTAAAAATGGTTAGAATCAGAAGGTTTAAATGGGTAACTCCCTAGTTGGGTTATAGATATGGCATCTAGTGTAGAACCTGCAGGCGAACTACTTAAATAGGTACCAAAAGGTATACGTGTGGCTAGTTGTATCTTCATTGTAACTGTAATAGCAAATAATTACTAATAAAGAGTCTCTATAGTCAAAGAGGTCACCTTAACACTGAAAAAAAAAAATTTATAGCTATTAAATATAGAAATTAAAAAAATTGATATTAATATTCATGATATTCGATAGCAAAAGATTAATAAACTTTAAAATACATAATTAACTTACTCAATTCAATTTTTACAATATTTATAAATATAATAAAAAAGTTGCTAAAAAACAACTTAATCAACTAGAATATTTAAAAACATGAAACATGTTTTTAAATATTGCAAAAAAAATAGATAACAATAATTTAAAGCTTAATATATTATAGAGATAGTAGTTAAATCCAAATATATATTTATATTTAAATTAATCTAGATTTTAAATAAATCTGAATTCAATTTTTTAAATATCAGTATCTGGATATAATATAAATTTGGATATAATATATAAATTTAAATAGCATTGATAACGAACCAATTTATTTACTCTTAAATCTATTTAAAAGTATCATATAGTTTACCAAAC